AAAAAAATTGCGTAACGCATGAAACTAGTAGGTTGAATTACTGCTTTGGATACTCACTCTAATTTTCTCTCCCTTCTCGTCAGCCTTAGCCACTTTCATCGTTTTGTTCATCAATGCGTTGATCCATACAGTTCCTGGAAAAAAATTTGCGAGTAGACTTTGAGAGCTGAAACACTACCAACTAAAAGAGATGCATTCCAGAAGAAAAAAATTTTTCCAAAAAAAAAGGATCTAGTAATTTATATAATCTCAGATTGGATAATGAACATATAAGGCATGCAGATATAACACTTACCAATGGCAGTTGCAGCTCGCACTAAAACGCTCTTCTTCCCATCAATTTCTTTCAAATGCAACATTCCAACGCCCAGTTTAGTGTATTGTTTCTCAACAAGCTTGAACACGGAACACCTGCAGATATAAAAAAAATCAGATATGTGCATTGAGGATAAATGCGCAAAAAAAATCAGCTGTGTGCAAATGAGTTAGATGCCGACTTTTTCAATAAATCTCTTACTTCGATGAGAACGTCGCTCCAGGCTCCTCATTTTCAACCACTTCTGCTTTCGGTGGAACATATTCTTCTTCTAAAAAATGTTAGCGATAACACAGTTACAGTTTGTGCTTTCAGTTGCAAAAATTACCCTCTCCCTTGGCTTCTGTTCCTTCAGTGCTTGACTTTGGCAACGTGCCAAAAGAAAAGCCCAGACCACCAGAAGGGGCGCTGGCTGTAGTGCTGCTTCCACCCCCAAATGTTGTAGTGCTGGCTCCGCCTCCAAACGTTGGGAACGTAAGGGCTGGTCTGGAAGATTCTGCGGTCAAAAGCCAAGTCTTTTGATGAATTAGCAGAAAAACAGGAAAATTTCTTTCAAGTTTGGCGCATGCGAAGTAAATGTGTTCGTGCGAGATCTATCTGAACTCACTTTTTATCGCCTTCTTTGCTGTCCTTAGCACCACCGAAGGAGGGAAAAGTCAATGTAGCTCTGAAACAACTCAGCGATATCTCTCAAAGCTTATGGATGAACGTCCCAAAACAACCTACTTCTTTTCACCAGTTTCTTCATCCTTCTTTGCTCCAAAAGTTGGGAACGTTAGAGTTGGCCTAAAATGGTTTACGATAATGATGTCGTGTTTTCAAAGCATTTAATCTTTCGAAAAAAAAA